GTGTGTGCACACATCTATGTGTAGCCATTCATCCACATTTGAACAGAGTGGACAGAGCAATTGCTGTAAATACAGACTGATAAGGAAGAAAATAAAAAATCAAACCTGCTTTAAAACCCAGCAACACAACTGTAGCTGTATAACTTTACATCAGAAACACTGCTTTAACAAAAAAGCAAAACAGCAAGACTTATTTGACATCAAAACAAACATTTTTAAAAATGCTGTCTAATCGCTCTCGCTGTACTTTGATGTCATACACAGAATGGTCTGTGCAGTGCTGCTACAACAGTTCTTCTGTGGCTTTATAGGTAATATTTTCACTTACACAATTTAGCAAAATCAGACAATATTGTGTCTAATATATACCACAATATTAACTTCTTATTATTGAATTGTTGTAAATAAATATCATATTTGCAGCTGCTCAGTGTTCAAAAAATGCTGGGAAATCACTTCATGTAGCCCTACAAGAGTGATTACTGATAAACTGTCTGAAAAAAATACAGTTTTTAGAGAAGAAAAAAATCACTCACTGACTTTCAAAGCTGCTAATGACTTTCTACTTCGAGGACCTATATAGAAATGTAATGGAGTGAAAAGTACAATATTTGTCTTTCAAATGTAGTGAAGTTAAAGTCATAAGTTTGCAGAAAAAATTATACTCAAGTAAAGTACAGATACTCAAAAAGTGTACTTAAGTACAATACTCAAGTAAATGTACTTAGTTACTGTCCGCCTCTGACTGTTACACATTTCATACTGCATATGTTTATATGTATCCATTTGGTCATTACAGTACAAACCTGTTACCATTTTATTGACTGTAAAATATTGATAACATTTATATTTTTATGCGTCTTTTATGTTGCATTATATCTTATTTATTGCATTATTTCACTGACTTGAGTTTCACACTGTCTTGTCTTTGTGTGTGGCACTGTGGTCTGCGTTATTACTGACCGCAGTTGCTGGAAAGACCACTTTGAATGAACTTCATCCAAAGTCATCATGATGGTTTCCATAATGCCACATGTACTATCAAGAAAAATATTAATGATATTTAAATGAAATGCAGAAATGTAAAGACTTTATTTCCCATGTTTAAGAGCTCTATGTCTACCTCTGGGAAGTACTGCTCTCTTTGCATGTGTGGGGCTTCTTGCACATTTCAGCATTTCTGTTTGTGCTCAAAAGTGGGAGTACTTTTTACATGTTGAAGCACATGGTACACATTAATTAAATTAATTTCAAATATGTTTTATTAAAATCTAATTTAAATAACAATATTACTAAAAACACTTAGGATATTAATATTTTTATACGAGGATCAATATTCTCAATACAGCCTAATTAAATAGTGTAAACTATACAATCACCAAATGCACATTTCGGTAACACATGTAACACTTTTTACAATATTTTTCTGACAACCACACATATTTGTTTTTACTGAAAATTTAAAGGGATCAAGAGACAGATAGTTCACCCAAAGATGACAATTCTGTCATCATTTGCTCACCCTCATGTTGTTACAAACCTGTAGGACTTCTTTCATCTGTGAAATAGGGCTGTCACGATATTAGATTTTTCACACCACAGTTATTGTGTCCAAAAGAATTCACAATATCGATATATCGCGATATCTATAGAACCCTTAGGGAATCAGCCAAATTAATGTTTACTTTGTTTATTTAGTTATTCGTTTTACCCAATGAACATAAGGATACTGATAAACACAGGGCACATGCATTTTCACTTCTTCTTCTTCTTCAGGTCACAGCTGACCTGAGACTCTGGCTTTCTCTGTCTTCTTTTAAGATCCCTATGAAATAACAAGAGAGGAAATACTGTCAAATTCAACAGTATAATGAATAAATATTAACATCAAATCTGATACTTTAACCTGTTAACTTGCGTACCCGTATGTTATTCTCTTTAACCTATAGTTGCGCCGGTGTTGTGCCGAATTCTGCACCCCTGCCAGATTATGCACCCCCTCGTTGAAGTCGCTACTTGATTGCCTAATCCCAACCCCACCCCTAATCCTAACCCTTCCCCCACACCTAACCCTAAACCTACCAATACTAGGGGGTGCATAATCTGGCAGGGTGCACATTTCGGCACTACACCGGCGCCAATGAAGTCATGCAGTTAACGCGCTTCTAATTCAGTATTAATGTGCACCCAGAACGACCGCAGATGAGGCATTAATTGCATGACACTGCGCCCAATTTTACATTTTACAGAGTTTAATGTGGTCGATCAGTTTTAATCGTGTAATAGATTTGAACAAATAAATAAATTGCTACACATAGGCAGTATTGGCCAGGGCTTGATTGCAAATACAAATACAAAAAATAGAGGAGTAAAGAAAACGCGGTACTTATTAAAAGAATCACCCTTTTATTTCAATATATGAAAACAGGATACCGCTGTTAACAGGTTAATGTAACATTTCCCATTCAATGACTAGTAAAATAATGGCAATTTACTGTCTGGATAATATTGAATATGGTTCTTCTGAGATATATTCATCTGCAGACCCGCAGCATGGATACTATTGGTTCTTCTTGGAGTAGTGCAGCCTGCGCGCTGCATCTTCTTCTTGTGTGACAGGTGTCAGTGTTAAGGCGCAATACTGCCACCTGGGAGGTCAACCAGGTACTGGCGCTGGAGTAGGCTATTTGCGTGTCGTTATCATAAGTGTCCTGTTCATTTTAAATATCATGGTTATCATCAATACCGGTATATCGTCACACCCTAAATTAACACGATGTCGATATTTCATTATTTTAATATCACGGTTATCGTCAATACCGGTATATCGCGACACCCCTACTGTGAAACATAAAAGAAGATATTTTGAAGAATGCTGTTGGTAACCAAATAGTGTTGTATCTTTTATGTTCCCCAGAAAGAAAGTCATACAGTTTTTCATCCAAACAACATGAGGGTGAGTATAGGATATTCAATATTTTTTTTCTACTACATGTTTTTATTTACAACAAAAATCAGTCTTTTATACAAAGTCAAAGTTTTTATATCCTTTGCATTTGCTCTTTAGTTCAGTCATGCACAGCTGTGGATATAGATAATAATAATAATAGTTTATGCATTTAGCAGACACTTGATAAAGCAACTTCAAGCATTCATGCATTCAAGCTATACATTTTTTACCAGTAAGTGTGTTCCCTGAGAATTGAACCCACGACCTTTTGCGCTGCTAACGCAATGCTCTACCATTGA